AAGAGAATTTCAGAAGAGACTGGATTCTGTTAGGTTTCCAGTGGGATCGATTTCGTCTCACCGTCCACATTCGGTTCATGTCTGCTTTTCTTTATTGAGGGAGCAGTCGGATCGCCCGGCTTACGCCGAGCTCTACCTCTTCCTTTAGCCCGGCTTCGCCGGGCTGGCCTGGCTTCCCAGGCGCACTTTCACGGAAACGGAATTTGTCATTCACTGAGCTGCTCATATTGTATTGAACGAATCGTAACAGATAGAGCAACCCAGCGAATCCTGAGTCCACGCTTGTTCGCAGAAGGGGTGGAGGTTTGGACTAACTAAGGCCCATACATAGATCTATAGATATAGGTAGAAAGTAGAGTCGTTCAATACAGCGTAATATGAGTTGCTAAGTAAAAGCTTAAATCTCACTTCCATTACCCTGTATGAAACGCCTACCGATCAGCGCTCACCTTTTCTACTACCATTCGATCATGTCGCACAAAGATTGCAGATGCTAATATTTTTGCTACGTACGTTAGTTGTACATTTTCCTTGTCCCGTATTATTCATTTTCATCAGTACAAAACGTTTGAAAGTAAAAGGGTGATATCACATTCAAAACATTACCCCGCATTGATAGCACGTTGGTTCGCAACTGTGATTCTTCCTTCCTTCACCCTATCGCTTTCAATAAAGTAGCGGTGTGCTCATGTTAAAGCGCACTCTACGCTTCCCAGTCGTACACCCACCAACCCCCCCCCCCCCTCCAGTGCCTCAATCCCTTCCCTACCCTGATCCATCCACGCGCTCACGTCCAGCTGCCCCGCGAGCAGCTTGTGCAATGGCTCGGAATACACCAAATGGTTGTCTTATATAGTGGAGTTATCGCAATCAAAACATTGGATTGATACATCTGCACCGAAAGGTTCCTAGATTGGCTAGCGGTCGTTTTCTCCTTTCAGTTACATGTTGAATCCCGTGAAGATTTTGCGGACGGACAAACATACATACATGCATCCTACGCGGACAACAAACTTCTGCTCTGTTTAGAATATGAGCGATTTGGGAATGACTAAGCGAGAAGGAGAAAATGCAGGATAGCCACTTTTCCGCTCAGACCTTCCTTGGCGTCTAAGCATCCTGTGATGTGGATAGTGAGGTTACACGCTGGCTGGTACTTACTACTGATACGTGGCACTGGCTTGCGCTTTCGAAAACATTTACATTCGACAAATTTGGCGCGTGTCTTCGCCAAGCAACAAGATGACAGTGTCAAAGTGAATATGCCACGAGCACCATTTGTGGGGACCGTGTTCAAATGGCACCTTCTCCGTCTTATCGATAAGAAGTATATAATGGAGCAGGCTGAAGACCAGATGAGCGAAGAGATATAATGCAGCAGGCTGAAGACCAGATGGGCGAAGAGATAGCCGTGGATTCATACGACTGTGCCCTTTTCACTATTGCGCCTCTCCTTCAGAACAGTGGTGAGGAACGACGCGTCAGTCATGAGAGGCGCGGTGGATGTGACCCTCCACAAATTCTCTGCCCATCTGACCACTAAGCCACGTTTTTTTTCCAGAGAAGAAGAAGTTAATGCTTCTCCATCTGAAAAGGGTGCAAACACCATACAGAAAATTTGCTGTGTAAGGAGTTCTGTGGGCAAGCTTCATTTTTATGAAAAAAGAAATCATGAAAGAGTACGTAATAGCAGCAAACTAATGCTCAGGGATCACCTGGGCTATCGATGAGCTTCCGATCATAGCAGCGAGATGAAGCGGAGGCAACTGATGTCGACCTCCCAGGCAGGGATCGGCGCCACATTCCAGTAAACTTTTCACCAGGGCTAGATCACCCTAAACAGCATTATGACCGTTTGTAGCTGGGTATCATCTTCACCGTACTGCGAAAATGACTGATATTTGACAGAGACCATGAATAGAGTTGCTGCATAAAAATGAGGGGATGCAAACGTGTGTTGACCCTCACCTTATAGACAGCAACGTGCAAAGCTGAGAAGCCATTGTTCGACAGATGAGACAAAAGATTGTTCTTCTTGGTGGTATCACCTCCACACGCATCCAGTAGAGCTGTGATTTTGTCGACTTGCTAGAAATTCCGTAACGATTCTCAGAAGACATCCGTGAGAACATCGAAAAGTCCGACTGACCGACTCAACCTGTCCTGCACAGATCACATGAAGGAGCGATAGTTGTTGTGGAGTGCGACAGTCGATAGATTCCGGTGTGAGGAGCCGTGAAAATTCCTCAGCTGTTCCTTCACTGAAAATCATCTTGATTAAACTTCCGTGGTGAACGGTTTGATAAACAAGATTAAACTACAAGTATAAAAATGTAGAGCTTGAGAGAGAGCTATCCACGTCGACATTCCCTTCGGAAAATGCTTTGTTAGCACGGGTCAGGCGGGTCTAGGACCTGACCCTTACTGTGTGCTCGGTAAAGGGAGCCACTTATCACAACACCACCGTCTCTTTCTCTTCAGGCTTCTACAAAGTGCATAGCGAAATAGGAAAAACCAGTACTAATCATAAGATAAGGTGAAGTTTGTTACCTGTTCCCCCACAACCAAGGCCTAAACAGAAGCGAGGTGACCCTCCACTGAAGCCCTCAAACACGACCTCCTTCAACCGGAATTCAACGTCACGTGCTTGCTTACGAATTGCCATAAAGGCTCTGCATGATTGGTGAAAATCTATGCTTAAGAGGAGGAATCTCTTTCAGAGCCCTCAGGTCCTTTAAATTATTTAATGAGAATTTTTCAAAGCAAACATGGTACGACTGGCGCCGTTCGTCTTAGGGGTGGGGCAT